GCGGGATAGGGTATTTCGGGTCTGGCGAGCGGATGCAAGTCTGCTATTCTGAAGAGGCAGTTGTCGTGACGGCCCTATCTTAACCCATACAGTAGTAGGATGCCTTTTTGCTTTTTGTAGATCCTTTAAATGTTCCGGGAAGAGGTTCGACTTTAAATTGAGCGTTGAACATGTTGGACCTGGAGGGCTGAAAAAAAACCGGAGCAAGTGGGCCCCGCCGTACCGAATATAGGGCTATAGGGTATACTATTCCTTCGAGGTGCTTACGATAGTTGCAGTACTATATGTACCAAAACCCTATTCTGTTTGTTAAGGTCCCTATAGTATTCCCGGAGATCCGAATTCACATTCAGCATCGAGCCTGGATCCTGTAAGAATCTGATGAAGAAAAAGTCTGAGTCTGGATGATAGGCACAAGTTTAGGCTTCAGATGCCAATCTGCCAAGCCAAGTAAGCGCCCGCTGTGCGCTTCTGCCAGGACTGCCACGTGCGGGTCAACGACCAGCGGGTATCCGTCGTACATTTTGACGTCGTGGCGCGACGGGCGGGGCAGGCCGGCTCTCAAAGACACGCAGATATCATATATATATATATATATGTATATATATATATATATATGTGTGTATATATATATATATATATCTACATATATATATATATATATATATATCTGTATAGGCACACACACACACGTACACATATAGGTACATGCATATATATATATATATATATATATATTTATGGTTACTGTTCATGCTTGAAATATTTACTCAGCAAGCGGAAGAATAAGAAGACACGGGGGTACCACTGAACAGAGTAGATCAGAGCCAGCAATAGCATCAGTGTTACGTGGTAGTGCTGCGATCGAGTTTCTGCTCAAGACGATTGAGTTGAGGCTCATGACAGAGGATTGGAAGGTCGGTGAGGAGGTGTTTAGCCCTAAACTTCGGTCCCAAGTCGCTGAACCCTATAAACTACTTGGAGGATCATGGGACTTAGTAACTAAGGTCATGAGTTAGCTAGCTATACTTATAGTTATGTATATCTCCAACTAGGGTACATACAACCTTGCTTACGAATTCCCATGATCCTCTACGTACAGTTCACGAACGACCTTGACAAGAAGGTTCCGAGAAAGCTCAAGGTGTCATGCTGAGCCAAACGGTCGTCTTAGCATACGCCGTGGGGTGATATAAGGGGCCTTAATCATTAGACTAGGGGTTTCGGGGTATATTATACTAGAATCAAAATAAGGAGCCGCCAGAATAATACAGGTAATTATTAAGGCCCCTCAAATGCCTTTAATTTGGATCCAGAAAGCTCCCTAGTCCCCAGTGCCAGAAAGCTGGGTTTAGGTTTAGGGTTGAGGGCTTAGGGTTTAGGGCTGCTTTTATTGTTGTTGTCATCAAGACTGATAGTCAGTCGCTGTTCACGGAATCCGATACACCCCCAACCCCAATTCCCAAGCCCTAAACCCTTTGATAGGATTTCCCTAAAGCCGATGAGGCTGGCCGGAGTGGAATGGAAGACCTGTTCTATGAGCGCCTGGCCGCAGAGTTGGCCTGATGGTCTCAGCGCAGATTTCGGTATATTGGAGTTGAAGCTGTAAGAAAGGTTTCGGGCTTCTTGCAACAGAGTCCTCGTACCACCTCCTGAGTATGATCTGAAACGAACTTAGGGCTTTTCGGTCGCCTGCCAGCTTGGCGGATGAATTGTGGCAGTGTGGAAGACGGCAAGAAGATCGGAAGAACATGGTAAGCAAGCTCAAGAGCATGGTGGTTTAGGGCTTGGGGTTTTCCGCTTAGATTCTCTTCCGCTCGGCATGATTCCACGACGGCATCAGGTGCTTTCTGCATGACCGCTCGTCCAACGGAACGGCCATCAACGGCGAAGTGGCGTGGAGGAATTGGATCAGGGGCTTTGGTCCAACGAGTTTGGGCTGTGGGATTTTTCTCCTATGAGCCAGAAGTTCTGTGATGTTTTTGTTGGGGGGCCGCTTCCTTGCTGGTCGTGCCAGTTACAGGATAAGCTTTGCTTGTCCTGCTTGTTATTATCGGACCTCCAGTGTTTTTCAAGTCGTCGTCCTCGTTGTGGCCATCGTAACTGTCGCTTCAAAAACCCCCGTGTTGCCACACCAGGTAGCCAATGTCTTGCCGTCGTAACATCTTGTGGGAAAGCCTGCAGAGGGTCTCCAAGCCCAGCTGCCTGGAAGAAGAAGCAACAGCAAGAGCTCGAAGTATACCCCACGCAGCAATACCAGGCCACGAAGACTCGTCTACCTTCTGGGTCCTGTAATCGTATTCACGCCTGAGGTCGTGGGTAAAGGCCAATCGCGACCACTTCGACATGGTGACGAGATCGCAGTACTTCCGGCCAAGAGGCTGTCGCTGTAATTCCTGCAGTGTTTGTTGGGAGATAATTGATCGCAGTAGAGCTGCGCGCTTTCCTTTCCTAGGATTCGTGCTGGCGTAAAGGGTTGAATACTCTCGTGGTCTTTGTCGTCTGTCCTTCGTTGCCTTCGTGTGTCAGTGTAGAGTTTACAGGGACATCAGCTTGCTGGTGCAGGAATCGCTGTCCAGCATCTGTCGTGTGATTTCAGGTTTGTCACCTCAGGGAGGGATATGGATTAGTGTCTGGGGTTTATAGAGTTGATGAACATCCTGTAAATCCTGAGAGAGCCTTGACAACGCCGTGATTCAACAGAGCCCAGGTACTCTTAGACTTGTTTCAGGGGCGCCCGGTTAAAGCCCTCGAGTCCGTCGCTGTCGTCCCTTTTCGGGTGTGCAGGGTCTAGGGTTTAGGATCGCAGCAGTCGTGTCTCTCATCAACAGGGCAAGAAAGCGCATGATATCCAGTGAATCCAGTGTCTCACTAAAAGCGCAAGTTTTTCTTGCCATAGAAATGCTGCCTGGAAGATGTGGTTGCAAGACAAACTGACACAATGGGAGGCCTCTGAAGTTCGAGCAAAAAACACTACCCAGTTACCACTCCAACAAAATCGAGCCACGAAGGAGGATTCGTAATTTACAGCAGTATGCAAACAGCTTCTAAATGGCGTATTTTTGCTGTTGAATTTACTATCATACTTTCTGGTCACATACTTCGAACCTGTAGACAGCAGCTAATCTGAATTGTTGCATTCAGCTGGGAGAAGCACCCCCTGTTGGCCAGGGTCGGCGAGGAGGAGATGCGCCTCACCCGGTTAGCTGGGGTTTTGCCCTTGTGGTTGGGTAGCAGTCGTAGTAGGAGCAGTCGTAGTAGATGACAACAACATCGGTAATGATAGTGATCATGATACTGATAATGGTAGTAAGATCAGCAGCAGCTGCAGCAGCAGCAGAACGAGGACTAAGAGTAGGAGTAGGTGAGTAGGTGTAGGAATACGAGTACGATCACGAGTACGAGTGGGAGTAGCAACTGCCATCGAAGCCAGTCAAGAGCGATTTACCCCCTGAAGCCTGCACTCACCGCACCCTGCATCTTCAACCCTGAAGATTTAAACCCTAAGCCCAGAGCCCCTAATGTAGGAACCTGATTAAGAGACGCTGGGCCTATAACCCCAAAATAGTACGGTTCATATATGGAACCCTAATAATTAAAGGCCCAAGGTTTCTTAAAATCAGGTTCCTACATTAAACCCTGCACCCACGCCACTCAGGATAGCTTTTCTCTTCCGCAACACGTCGGAGGGGCTCCGCTCGCCCAGGGGTGCCCGGCACTTGGTAAAAGACTTCGGACGCAGAAGGGGTTTGGGGTGCAGAGTTTGGGGGTTTCGCCACTCCCGAAAGCAAAACAATCACCGAGATAGTATGACCCATGAGAAAAGCGGTCCACCACTGCCAACCTTGAAATCCAAGAGTTTTGTAGCTTTGTTCGCTTTGGGATCGGTTCTTTTGGGAGCGTGTGGCGATTTCTGTGGCTGTCGGGTTTGAAGTTTGGCTGAGCGAAAAGGATCACGAGACTGAACAAGCGAATAATTAGGGGTCCAGTCTTAAACTAATGATAGCCTCCATGTAGGATACGTCTAGTTCTATATATATATATATATACATATAACTATGCGCGCACACACACATACATCTGTATCTCTATCTGAAAACGGCTTCCAAAGTTGATTCAAGCAGGAGTTCAGGGTTTAGGCCCCTGGACCCCCAGGCCATAGGGATTGGGCATGCGCGATGAGTAGAACCGGAGCCACGAAATGCCGGGCTTCGCATTTAGGACGAGGGTTCGGGGCTCATGGTTCTAGAGCCCTAAACTCTAGCGCAGTTTGTTTTCATCTGATGGCTACTACCGTTGCCGTTGCTATTACTGCGTGTTTGGCAACTGCTATTTTACTAGTCTTGTCGCAGTGCCAAGGGATCCCACGAAACCCTAGGTCCACCAGGCATATTTTGGGGACAGGAAGAATGAGCAATAGTATCTCCCTAGTCTCAAGTTTAGAAGTAGAAGTTACTCTGAGTGAGCACTTCCAGCACAGCTTGCAAGCCGTTATGGTAAGACAAGATATGGATGTATCGCAACATTCCGGAAGAGAGTTAAGATGTGATTGGTCCCAAAAGCTTTTGCTCGTCCCTTCGTTGGCCTGTGGCTTCAGCTTCTGCATATATGCTTGGAGGCACCCCGACGCCGAAGAAACCATGTATGTTCGGCTCCGGGTACAAGGAACCCCCCTTACTGCAAGCCATGGCTCTTGATGTGGAAGTCCCTGCGCTCCCTATACATCTACATTAATCATACTACGGCCCCTTGGGCTTCGGCCAAAGCCGCCTTCGGCCTCAGCTCATTCATAGTACTGGGAGTTTCTGAAAATTAGGGGTACCTTATTATGAGGTCCTTATAGTAGGAATCCTATGATTTAGGGTAACATAGTTCTATTGCAATAGAGCCCAGCAGATTTTGTCAAGTTAGGAAGGCCCCGAGGTTTCAACTCCAAGGGTTAACACCTCCAGACCCCAGACTTCCCCAAGCGGAAGCCATGGGAAATGCGTGCATCTGTGATGCGAACAAGGCCCCTAGGGCTTTCAGGGTTCAGGGTTTAGAGTGTTGGATTCGGGGTTCAGGGTTTAGGCTTCAGGGTTCAGGGTTTAGAGTTTTGGATTCGGGGTTAGGGTTTAGGCTTCAGGGTTCAGGGTTTAGAGTTGCGATTGTTTGCGACCTTGCGGCGGGGTTTGCAGGATGAGGGCCTCCTTCAGAAGAAGCCTGGAGCCAAAGGGCAGCACCAAGCCACCAAACCCTAAACTGAAACACGCAAGCCCGAAATCCTAAACCTCCAAATTGATATCCTCAACAGCCCCCAAAACCCCGTATTACCTTGAACTCGTGACAGACGAACCCCAACCTGAGCAGATGGTATCGCAGCCGGCAAGCTGGAGGGGTTTAGTAGAGCTTAGGGTCTGCAGGTTCATGGTTGTTCACTAGTCACGAGGTTGTCTTTTGATACAGGCCCTGTCTCGGCCTTCTCCTTTTTCTTAAACGGACAGCAGTGTCTCGTTAAACCTCGGAGGGCTGCCAATGTCACCAGAGATCCACAGCCCGGAATGGGGAATCACTATCTTTACTTCCCCCCTTATAGTCCCTATATTACGACTGTGTACTATATCATTACCTCAAAAGCTTGTTTTGAGATTTCAGGCCCCTTTTTCAAGCCTTGATCCTAAAGTAGCAAAGACTGAAACGTAGCAGCGCAGAACTTTAAGCCGATCCCGGAAACTTACTCTAGATCCGAGGTCCTAGTGCTTCCCCTAAACAAAGGGCCTGCGGTTTCGTGCCTAGGTCAAGCCTTCATAGTAACATTCCTAGTCTGTGAGTCGCCGTTCACTTTTGTCCTGTGTGCCCACCCCCTGCGCCGTAGACCTGCTTTACCGGTGGCTGGAATGGTGCTTCGATGGCCTAAGACAAGTTGCCTTCCTAGCCACCTTGACTCATGGAAGCCCCTGAACCCCAAGTCCCAAACCACAAATCCTACATGGAAAGTTGTCGAAATTATGGTCCCTTTTTGGTCCCCATTATAATACGGCACCTATTATTTAGCGTACCCCAAAAGGGACCACAATTTTGACAACTACCCACATGACTGCCAACCCCTAGCCCCCAAACTGATTCCGTGGGGTTCCGGGCTTCGGGTAAAAGGAGGGACCCTTAATAAGGACCCCTAGGTATATACCCGTAATATAGCTATGATATACCCATGATTATAGCCCATTATAGGGTAGGGGTCCCCACTAAGGGTCCCTCCTGTTCTGCTTTGATTCGGGCTTCGGGACCACCTTCTTCCTCTTCGCTTCGCCTTTCCAGGGCGATCGAGCCATGTGCTTGCATCGGCCTCTGTCAGATGGCGCGCAGCTGGGTGGCACTTACCTTTGGTTAGTAGGGAATGGAGGAAGGGGGTACAATTATAACTGCTCTTACTACTGTAAGGTAAGGGCAGGGAAGTCTTCGGCCGTAGTGCTCTTTCGGGGTTGCTGCGTATTGCCGTGCCCGATCGGAGTCCCAGCATGTGCTGTTCTAGGTATTCAGCGTACCGATATAGTGCCGGTGTTTCTCCGAACACTCAACACGTAGGCATGCGTTCAGGGACGTCCATAGAAGCTTCCCAGAGCAACGGGTTGCCCCAGAAAGCTCCTCTTGCAAAAGCGGCTTCCGAACTCCCGGCATCGATGCTTCTTGTGTCTGACTCTCCGCAGAAGCGGCACTGCAATTCCTCCAAAGGCAGAACGAGAAGCTCGTTCTAGCCTTCTAGCGTGGAACACAGGGTGAGTAAAGACCAATAGCCAGCTGCAGGCTTCCTACTTGGAGGATCATGGGACTTAGTAATTGGGGATATAAATATGGGAACTACAGCTATAACGACTTATAACCCCCATTAGGGTACTTATAACCTTACTTACTAAGTTACTAAGTCCCATGATCCTCTAAGCAGGGTTCAGCAAGCTTCGGACTGCCATGCAGTGCAAGGTCAGGGCCTCAACCAACAACAGTAACACTGGGATTTGTTTTGATACTGCGTCAGCAAGAACCGCGACCCTGGCAATGACTATATATTTCAAAGGCCGCTCATGGCTCTTCGGGGTTTTTTGAGTGGCCACTTTGATCGAGAATCCCTGAGCTCGCTCTCTCTCTCTCTCTCTATCTCTCCTCTCTCTCTCTCTCTCCTCTCTCTCTCTCTCCTCTCTCTCTCTCTCTCTCTCTCTCTCTCTCTCTCTCTCTTCCCCCCCTCCCTATGAGACATCGCTTGCCTTTGTGATAAGCTTTTCCATGGTCCCCAACCAGGGTCCCGAACCTCTAACTCGAAACCGCATACGCCTGTCATCCCCGAACTATTGGACGCTCGGCCGAGGGCGCAAGATCAGCCGCGTGTTCTGCTCGGGCCGGTTGTTGGGGAGGCAAGGCACAGGGTTTTTGGTCCCCAGAGAGCCCAACATCCCTAAACCAAGGAAGGTACCCTAACTCAGAACACTAAGGGGCTCTTATCATTTTAGCCATATTCCATGGTTAAGTGGTATTGAGTTCTCCGGGTCTTCGGCCCAGCAGTGCGAGTCTACAAAAATAGGAGTACGACGGACATGCAACTGCAAAACCCAATCATAATATGGGCAGAACACATGACGGCATAATCATCACGAGAGCGATCATTTCCATGCATAAAACATGAGATTGACAAGCAGACTTTGCAGAGGGCTCATAGCGACAAGGTGCCACTTGTGCGATTTCTTCTACTCCTACTACTAGCAGCAGCAGTATCAGCAGGAGTAGAGTCAGACTTTCAGAACATGTTCTTTCTCATTCTGAATTAGGTTCGTTTTGGCGTTCGGAGTTCTCTATTCGGCAGTTCTCAGACGTGGGAAATGTCGATCGGGTGGGGGGTGGGTTTGCAGCTTGCTCGACAAGAGTTGCAGCTTGATTTTCTGGATGCTCAGCTGGGCTTTGGGCCAACAGGCACAGGCACCACCTTCATTCCATCCGTTTGGAAACCTGGCAAAGCCCAGGACCCACCTCCTGCGTTTCCAGACGGCTCGAAACTGCGTGCCACCTTCCATGCGTGCTTGAACATGCTTGCTCTACTTTGCGGCACTGTTTCATGTTGTGAGGTTACTGCCACCACAGCGAACATCCTCCTAGAGGTGGACCGCGACATGCAGGCCCTGGGAGTTGCTTGCTCTTTAGTTTTGTGTCAGTGCTCTGCTTGCAAGACTATACAGGCATCTTTTCCCCAGCCTCTGAAACCCAAAACCTGGTCAAGTCCAGCATGCGGCAAAGACCCACGCACGGCCACGAGCAAGCGGCTGCTGTTGGAGGTGGTTTGCTTTGCGACGGCGCACGGCGGAACCGGCCATTTAGTACAAGAGAGCCTGAGCCCCAGTTTCTTCAGCAAGGGGTAGTATGCGAAGGAAGAGGAGGACTAGGACCAGGAGGAAGAGGAGACGGAGATGATGTTGCCTCCGCCCTGGCTGTCGCGGTCGCGGTCGGGGTCGGGTGCTATGTGGTGCTGGGTGGTCGTCAACATCATCATTGTAATTATCACCACCTTCATCAACTTCATCATTTTCATCACCCTCATCATCGTCATCATCATCACCGTCGTCAGTATGATCGCGATCATCAGCAGCATCATCATCATCATCATCATTTTCAACATCATGCTCGTCAGGTCAGCTCATCATTCTGATTAGGCTCATAATCATGTCTGACTTCTCCCATTCCTCGTCGTCATTGTCAGCAGCTTCGTCATCACCGTGACCAGCGTGATGGATTGCTGCCATAATCCAACCGCCGGTTGATGAAGTCCACCGAGGTAGTGAGAGTCTTGGAGCCATCAAACTCCAAGCCCCAATCCGATTACAAGGGAATTGAGGAGCCAGCAGGTGGGGGAAAACAGAGCAGAGAAGATAAGACGAGGATCGTACGAGTAAGACTGGCTTAGAGAGTAAGTCTGTTATCGTAAGTTGTTTAGAGAAACAAGATAGGAAGCTTCGACGGGAATACAGCGATGGTAAGAGGTTTAGCACTCGCAGGATCCGGCAGGTCAGCAACAGACTCCTGCCATTCATTGCATTGCCATGGTACATTGTCCAGAGGTATGACGTGATCTTTCTTTAGATGGTGTTCACTTACACTTTCTGATTTCCCCAAGATTAGATATTGTGATGCTTTTGAAGTGGAAGATGTTATGAAGTCGCGCCAGGTCCAGGAAACCGAGCAGACAACATCAGACACCGCCCACCAACCGAGCTCCTTCCGCAGACTTTTTCATCTCGCACCCCACCATCCACCTGACTCGTGCTTGCCATGTCGTTGGCTCTGGGCGGCGTTCCAAACGTGCTGCCGGCGGGCAAGCTGGCGGAACTCAAGGAGACCGCGGGGAAGCTCTGCGCGCCAGGTGCGGTGGTGAAAAACTGAGGTTGAAACTGAATCTTTTTGAATACCAGATCTACATTTTTCATGAACACTTGGCCCAAAATCGGTGTACTAACCGGCTGTAGACTGCAACCCCTCAAACCCACTTCAGATATTTGTGTGTCAAGTTGTTGGCCGCCAAGTGTCCAAGACCGAAGTTGATTGTGTCCAAGTGTACAAGCTTTCTTCATCTTGGGGCGATGTGACCAATGTGGGTACACCATGCAGTTCACAAGAGCATCAATTTACGGGGTACCATTATATCGCAAGGTTTGGCTCCCACCAGGCACCGGAGCGTCCCCCCAGTGCGGTCCAATTCAGTGTAAGGGCAGCAAGAGATTCTTTTTTGCCGCGAATGAGAAATGAGAAACCAAAAAACCCCGAGGCAAAGGTTTCTATATTATACCATACTTTACTCTGCTATACTAATGTTCTACTATAACATCATAGAGTAGATTGTAGCAGATTCTTAGATGAAACCATCAAACTCCGAGGCTAAACCCCAAACCCTAAACCCCAAACCCCTAATCCCTAAACCCCTGAACCCTAAACCCCTAAACCCTAAACCCCTAAACCCTAAACCCCTAAACCCTAAACCCTAAACCCTAAACCCTAAACCCCTAAACCCGAAACCCCTAAACCCGAAACCCCTAAACCCCTAATCCCTAAACCCTCCATCAAACCCCGAGGCAAAGGTTTCCTGGCCGCCGATGAAAGCGCCGGGCCGTGGCTCCGGGCACGACACGCAGAAGCGGCAAAGATCCCAGAGACTAAGCTCATAGGAGGCCAACGAAGGGGGTTTTAGCCTATGGGGGTTTAGTAGGGATAAGGGTTCCCATAATAGAGTTCATATTTAGGAATCCCTACCCCAAGAAGCGGCAAAGATCCCAGCGCCTTGCATCTGGGAAGCTACTACTACTACTACTACTACTACTACTACTACTACGACTACGACTACGACTACGACTACGACTACGACGACGACGGCGACTACGACGACGACGGCGACGACGACGACGACGACACTAGCCCTTACGGGTACTTAGAAACATTTTTTGTGCTTTTGGTTATTATAACACCGAAGAAACAGCTAAAATCATAATTTTTGCCAGGGTTCCAAGTTCAGTATAGAGACACTAAGCGGCTAAGCATCACTGGGGTGATGTGTTTACATTTTTTTACCTCATTTTTTTGGAAGTTTTTAGATATGAGTTGCTGGGTTCATATAGTTAACCATAAGATCTGTGTTGTTTTGTCCATCACAGATAGCTTTTGAAATCTTTGATTGAGGACCGGATGGGACTTATAGTTGTTCTTTTTTCTTTCGGGTGTGGTGCTGTGACATCTGACATGCGAGGATGTGGCCGAGAATAGAGCAGAGTATCGGTCCATGTGCTTCGCAACTCCGGGCTTGAGCGAGCACATCGGCGGAGTGATCCTCCACTGGGAGACGCTGTTTCAACGAGATGCGCAGGGCAAAGCCATAGTGGACATCATCAAGGACAATGGCATGATCCCTGGTATCAAGGTGGACAAGGGCTACAACAAGAAGCCTGGATTTGCTGGTGATTTTCTGAACTTCCCATTTAGTTGAGCCGCAAGAAAAACGGCGAATTTACTGGGATTACACAATACGGTAATCTATTGTTTCAGCTATTTCTGAGCTATGGAAATCCACAGGTGTCCCGGGTCCCGTTCGGAAATGATCTGCTTGACCTGATGGATTTTCTATAGTTCTGGTCGTTTACTGGAGGGTATCACCTGTTATCCATCTATGATATTGGTAAATTGTTTGTCTACAACCCAAATGGGAATCGACTTTGAACCACACGGAAAATCAAAGTCGTATTGAATGCTGAGTTGAACTGGCGTTAAATCATGTAACGTGGTTTAAACTATTAATGTTTAAATGTGTACTGAATCTTTTTGTTCCTTGCATCTCCGATATCGCAACTCCAAGGAAGGGCATCTTGGGAACTCCGGTTGGGCCTTTGGGACACCCGGAGGTGGCCACTGTGGGCTTGGATGACCTACAGCAAAGATGCCACCAGGCGGTGCTTGCCACTGAAATGGAAAATCAGTCAAAACCATGGCAACTTCTTATGGCAAAATACAGATGATCATAGCAACATATAGCAACTCTTGGACGGACAACGGGTTTACCAAAGCTGAAAACCACGTTATCTCGTTGTCATCTCTTCATCATCTGCCTTTGCATGTCTTTTTGCCAGGCCTATGAGCAGGGCGCCCGTTTTGCCAAGTGGCGCAACGTGCTGCAGCTGGACCCGGCGAAGCACATGCCCACAGAGCTGGCGATCGCAGATTGTGTGCATACCTTGGCGCGCTATGCCTCGATCTCCCAGAGCGAAGGCTTGGTGCCCATTGTGGAGCCGGAAATCGTTCCCAATGGAAACACGACTGGACTTGGGGGTAATGGGTTAGATGGGATGGGTTGGGGGCTAGGCTGAACACAAGCAATGCCCGCTAAGGCGATCATGACATCCACTACTGCGCCCGAATGACCGAGAAGGTCTTGGCTGCACAGTTCAAGGCCCTGGCAGACCACCACATCTACTTGGAGGGTGCTGTCTTGAAGCCCAACATGGTGAAGAATGGCCTCGGTGGCCCGAAAGCCAATGCTGAGACCATTGCCACTTTGTCAGTGCAAACTTTGCTGCGCACTGTGCCTGCCTCCATGCCTGGAATCTTCTTCTTGTCGGGCGAGTCAGCTAAGAATGAAGACAACGAGGAAGAGGCAACCATCAACTTGAGCACCATGAACAAGTTGTTTCCCAAGTTGCCATGGCACCTCTCCTTCTCCTATGGCAAAGCTTTGCAGAGGACTTGTATTGTCACGTGGCTAGGCAAGGCTGAGAACAAGGATGCTGCTCAAAAGGCTTTGAAGGCGAGAGCCAATGCGAACTCTGATGCTTGCTTTGGCAAATACACGCCCGGCAGTTGCAAAAGCCTTGGACCGGAGGAAGGAGCAAGCAGCAAATTGGCTTCTGAACCTTACTGAGTAGATGGACTCAGGAGTAAGGAAGCAGCTTGCACAAAAGCTGCAAGTGTTCCCTGGATTTCAAGTTTGCAGGTAGCTGCAGGTGCTGGTTGCAGGTAACCAGGTACCTACTCCTGTGATTCCAGGTTGGTCAGATTCTGCCAAGACTGGTCTTTGGCGGCCTTCTCTTGTTTCACAGTAGTTTGGGCTGTCATGACTTGCAAGTGGGCAAAGCAATGTATGTCTCTGTCATTTGGTGCAGCTGCAAGTCATTTGTACCGAGTTCGTGAATCGATGCAGCTAAGCTAGGCCGTAGGGCTGAACTTATTTCAAGCACAGTTGGTGCTGTTTTCTGAGCGCATTTACGCGCCTGATATGTCCTAGGGTGTCATGTTGGAAGGTTGGAATGTTGAGAGAGGATTGGACTGCTCAGTGAACATGATCTGCATGTTTCTTGCAGTTCACCCTAGGGAACGTCGATGTACAGATTGCCGCTTTCATTCACCCGTAAGCGATGCAGCCAGGCCGTATGGCTAAACTTATTTCAAGCACAGTTGGTGCTGTTTTGTGAGCGCATTTAAGCGCCCGATATGTCCTAGGGTGTCACCCTAGGGAACGTCGATGTACAGAACTCGCAGCGCTTTGATTCACCTGTTGGCCTCGCCACTCCGTCGCTTTGCGCCTGGTGGTCCCGTCCGCCTGTTAGAAAAAGAGCGCCTGTTGCAAGGGGTAGTATGCGAAGGAAGAGGAGGACTAGGACCAGGAGGAAGAGGAGACGGAGATGATGTTGCCTCCGCGCTGGCTGTCGCGGTCGCGGTCGGGGTCGGGTGCTATGTGGTGCTGGGTGGTCGTCAACATCATCATTGTAATTATCACCACCTTCATCAACTTCATCATTTTCATCACCCTCATCATCGTCATCATCATCACCGTCGTCAGTATGATCACGATCATCAGCAGCATCATCATCATCATCATCATTTTCAACATCATGCTCGTCAGGTCAGCTCATCATTCTGATTAGGCTCATAATCATGTCTGACTTCTCCCATTCCTCGTCGTCATTGTCAGCAGCTTCGTCATCACCGTGACCAGCGTGATGGATTGCTGCCATAATCCAACCGCCGGTTGATGAAGTCCACCGAGGTAGTGAGAGTCTTGGAGCCATCAAACTCCAAGCCCCAATCCGATTACAAGGGAATTGAGGCGAGAAAACACTGCATTGGCGGAGCCAGCAGGTGGGGGAAAACAGAGCAGAGAAGATAAGACGAGGATCGTACGAGTAAGACTGGCTTAGAGAGTAAGTCTGTAATCGTAAGTTGTTTAGAGAAGCAAGATAGGAAGCTTCGACGGGAATACAGCGATGGTAAGAGGTTTAGCACTCGCAGGATCCGGCAGGTCAGCAACAGACTCCTGCCATTCATTGCATTGCCATGGTACATTGTCCAGAGGTATGACGTGATCTTTCTTTAGATGGTGTTCACTTACACTTTCTGATTTCCCCAAGATTAGATATTGTGATGCTTTTGAAGTGGAAGATGTTATGAAGTCGCGCCAGGTCCAGGAAACCGAGCAGACAACATCAGACACCGCCCACCAACCGAGCTCCTTCCGCAGACTTTTTCATCTCGCACCCCACCATCCACCTGACTCGTGCTTGCCATGTCGTTGGCTCTGGGCGGCCTTCCAAACGTGCTGCCGGCGGACAAGCTGGCGGAACTCAAGGAGACCGCGGGGAAGCTCTGCGCGCCAGGTGCGGTGGTGAAAAACTGAGGTTGAAACTGAATCTTTTTGAATACCAGATCTACATTTTTCATGAACACTTGGCCCAAAATCGGTGTACTAACCGGCTGTAGACTGCAACCCCTCAAACCCACTTCAGATATTTGTGTGTCAAGTTGTTGGCCGCCAAGTGTCCAAGACCGAAGTTGATTGTGTCCAAGTGTACAAGCTTTCTTCATCTTGGGGCGATGTGACCAATGTGGGTACACCATGCAGTTCACAAGAGCATCAACTTACGGGGTACCATTATATCGCAAGGTTTGGCTCCCACCAGGCACTGGAGCGTCCCCCCAGTGCGGTCCAATTCAGTGTAAGGGCAGCAAGAGATTCTTTTTTGCCGCGAATGAGAAATGAGAAACCAAAAAACCCCGAGGCAAAGGTTTCTATATTATACCATACTTTACTCTGCTATACTAATGTTCTACTATAACATCATAGAGTAGATTGTAGCAGATTCTTAGATGAAACCATCAAACTCCGAGGCTAAACCCCAAACCCTAAACCCCAAACCCCTAATCCCTAAACCCCCGAAACCCTAAACCCCTAAACCTTAAACCCCTAAACCCTAAACCCCTAAACCCTAAACCCTAAACCCTAAACCCCTAAACCCGAAACCCCTAAACCCGAAACCCCTAAACCCCTAATCCCTAAACCCTCCATCAAACCCCGAGGCAAAGGTTTCCTGGCCGCCGATGAAAGCGCCGGGCCGTGGCTCCGGGCACGACACGCAGAAGCGGCAAAGATCCCAGAGACTAAGCTCATAGGAGGCCAACGAAGGGGGTTTTAGCCTATGGGGGTTTAGTAGGGATAAGGGTTCCCATAATAGAGTTCATATTTAGGAATCCCTACCCCAAGAAGCGGCAAAGATCCCAGCGCCTTGCATCTGGGAAGCTACTACTACTACTACTACTACTACTACTACTACTACGACTACGACTACGACTACGACTACGACTACGACGACGACGGCGACTACGACGACGACGGCGACGACGACGACGACGACACTAGCCCTTACGGGTACTTAGAAACATTTTTTGTGCTTTTGGTTATTATAACACCGAAGAAACAGCTAAAATCATAATTTTTGCCAGGGTTCCAAGTTCAGTATAGAGACACTAAGCGGCTAAGCATCACTGGGGTGATGTGTTTACATTTGTTTACCTCATTTTTTTGGAAGTTTTTAGATATGAGTTGCTGGGTTCATATAGTTAACCATAAGATCTGTGTTGTTTTGTCCATCACAGATAGCTTTTGAAATCTTTGATTGAGGATCGGATGGGACTTATAGTTGTTCTTTTTTCTTTCGGGTGTGGTGCTGTGACATCTGACATGCGAGGATGTGGCCGAGAATAGAGCAGAGTATCGGTCCATGTGCTTCGCAACTCCGGGCTTGAGCGAGCACATCGGCGGAGTGATCCTCCACTGGGAGACGCTGTTTCAACGAGATGCGCAGGGCAAAGCCATAGTGGACATCATCAAGGACAATGGCATGATCCCTGGTATCAAGGTGGACAAGGGCTACAACAAGAAGCCTGGATTTGCTGGTGATTTTCTGAACTTCCCATTTAGTTGAGCCGCAAGAAAAACGGCGAATTTACTGGCATTACACAATACGGTAATCTATTGTTTCAGCTATTTCTGAGCTATGGAAATCCACAGGTGTCCCGGGTCCCGTTCGGAAATGATCTGCTTGACCTGATGGATTTTCTATAGTTCTGGTCGTTTACTGGAGGGTATCACCTGTTATCCATCTATGATATTGGTAAATTGTTTGTCTACAACCCAAATGGGAATCGACTTTGAACCACACGGAAAATCAAAGTCGTATTGAATGCTGAGTTGAACTGGCGTTAAATCATGTAACGTGGTTTAAACTATTAATGTTTAAATGTGTACTGAATCTTTTTGTTCCTTGCATCTCCGATATCGCAACTCCAAGGAAGGGCATCTTGGGAACTCCGGTTGGGCCTTTGGGACACCCGGAGGTGGCCACTGTGGGCTTGGATGACCTACAGCAAAGATGCCACCAGGCGGTGCTTGCCACTGAAATGGAAAATCAGTCAAAACCATGGCAACTTCTTATGGCAAAATACAGATGATCATAGCAACATATAGCAACTCTTGGACGGACAACGGGTTTACCAAAGCTGAAAACCACGTTATCTCGTTGTCATCTCTTCATCATCTGCCTTTGCATGTCTTTTTGCCAGGCCTATGAGCAGGGCGCCCGTTTTGCCAAGTGGCGCAACGTGCTGCAGCTGGACCCGGCGAAGCACATGCCCACAGAGCTGGCGATCGCAGATTGTGTGCATACCTTGGCGCGCTATGCCTCGATCTCCCAGAGCGAAGGCTTGGTGCCCATTGTGGAGCCGGAAATCGTTCCCAATGGAAACACGACTGGACTTGGGGGTAATGGGTTAGATGGGATGGGTTGGGGGCTAGGCTGAACACAAGCAATGCCCGCTAAGGCGATCATGACATCCACTACTGCGCCCGAATGACCGAGAAGGTCTTGGCTGCACAGTTCAAGGCCCTGGCAGACCACCACATCTACTTGGAGGGTGCTGTCTTGAAGCCCAACATGGTGAAGAATGGCCTCGGTGGCCCGAAAGCCAATGCTGAGACCATTGCCACTTTGTCAGTGCAAACTTTGCTGCGCACTGTGCCTGCCTCCATGCCTGGAATCTTCTTCTTGTCGGGCGAGTCAGCTAAGAATGAAGACAACGAGGAAGAGGCAACCATCAACTTGAGCACCATGAACAAGTTGTTTCCCAAGTTGCCATGGCACCTCTCCTTCTCCTATGGCAAAGCTTTGCAGAGGACTTGTATTGTCACGTGGCTAGGCAAGGCTGAGAACAAGGATGCTGCTCAAAAGGCTTTGAAGGCGAGAGCCAATGCGAACTCTGATGCTTGCTTTGGCAAATACACGCCCGCCAGTTGCAAAAGCCTTGGACCGGAGGAAGGAGCAAGCAGCAAATTGGCTTCTGAACCTTACTGAGTAGATGGACTCAGGAGTAAGGAAGCAGCTTGCACAAAAGCTGCAAGTGTTCCCTGGATTTCAACATTGCAGGTAGCTGCAGGTGCTGGTTGCAGGTAACCAGGTACCTACTCCTGTGATTCCAGGTTGGTCAGATTCTGCCAAGACTGGTCTTTGGCGGCCTTCTCTTGTTTCACAGTAGTTTGGGCTGTCATGACTTGCAAGTGGGCAAAGCAATGTATGTCTCTGTCATTTGGTGCAGCTGCAAGTCATTTGTACCGAGTTCGTGAATCGATGCAGCTAAGCTAGGCCGTAGGGCTGAACTTATTTCAAGCACAGTTGGTGCTGTTTTCTGAGCGCATTTACGCGCCCGATATGTCCTAGGGTGTCATGTTGGAAGGTTGGAATGTTGAGAGAGGATTGGACTGCTCAGTGAACATGATCTGCATGTTTCTTGCAGTTCACCCTAGGGAACGTCGATGTACAGATTGCCGCTTTCATTCACCCGTAAGCGATGCAGCTAGGCCGTATGGCTAAACTTATTTCAAGCACAGTTGGTGCTGTTTTGTGAGCGCATTTAAGCGCCCGATATGTCCTAGGGTGTCACCCTAGGGAACGTCGATGTACAGAACTCGCAGCGCTTTGATTCACCTGTTGGCCTCGCCACTCCGTCGCTTTGCGCCTGGTGGTCCCGTCCGCCTGTTAGAAAAAGAGCGCCTGTTGCAGACCTCTTTTCTCCTTTGCCTCGAGTTGTTTCAAGCTTCTGACTCGTCTCAAGATGTCTTCAGTCTCATTTCATTCAGTTTTTTGAGTAAGAATGCTCATCCAGGATGTTATGGCCCCCCCCCTCCCAAAGCCAGTGGGAGACCGAAGGGTGACCGCGAAGGGAAGGAGGTTTTAGGTTTAGGGTGTGGGGTTGAGGGTCAAAGGAAGCCCAAGAAGGAGATCCCTAATGTTCGGAGATGTCAAGCACGGATCTCTGGCGCTCGTCTTGCTGAGCACAGGCTTGCAGCTCTTTGCCGAGGACTGGCACGGCATGTGGGTCAGTCATTCGGGGAGCTCTTCTTGGGTTTTACCATCGCAGCAGCCAGAGGTGCGACTTCACCCAACCAGAAGCCAAAAACGCCCTCTGCACAAAGCGCCAGATCCCAGGGCTGCAGCCGAGCTCCAGAAAGCCCCGCTAAAGAACTCTGAATCTGATCTTCTGCTATAGACCCGTTGAACCTCTTCAGGACAGGCCTTCATGAGCCCAAGTCCCAAAAAAGTGGCGTCAGACGCTAATTCACTCGACCCTGAGCGTTAAACCCTGAACTTGTTTGTAGAGCTCTATAGACTCTCATCATCCCTAAATGCTTTTTTCTGTAAGACCTTCTCTTTTCTTGCAGGATCCCGTGGTTGTTCGCTTGCGCGGCCTCTCCCCGCTGTCCACGCCGCCTGGGGCAATTGCCAGCTTTCTCTTTTTGGCTTTCCGGGTTCTGTACACGTTCTACGAAAATGATACAAAGCCCAAAACCCCAAAGCACAAAAGCTCTAAATCCTAAACCCTAAATCCTAAACCACCCTAATGTAATGATAATTAATGAAAAAAGGGAGACGGCGGAGTGCACTAGTTTCAAGGCTGAGTCGTTTGTGGGGTTGTAGGGTCGTGAACTTCTGGGCTCTGGAGTTTGGGGTTCAGAGTTTCAGGGCCCCGAGGTTGACCTAAGTCCGGCCCATGTCACAAAAGGTAGTATGTAATCAGTACAGTTCCAGGGGGTTGCTGATTATATTCAGAGTACAACATGCCCAAAAACCCTTTCTTCATGATTCAGGCCTATATATGGTCACATCCCAAGTTCTCGAAAAATATGAAGCGAAGAATTCGCCCAGGTATAGCATAACTTGGTCTCCGAATCTGCTCTTCAACACTCAAGGTGGACGGGCGGGGGCGGCAGCAGCTATACGTACGTTGCAGCTCACGGGCTTGAGTTCTTATTCTTCCCATCATAGCACCCCAGCGGTACTTCTGCCACACTATTCTAGCTACCTTCGCCTGACTATTGCTATTTTCCAAGCCTGCGCGTTCGCGCTAGTGTTTCTTGTGCCTCCTCCATTGGCTCTGCACCGGTTTCGGGACGTCCTGGGCTTGCTGGTTCGAAGGGGAGGTCGGGTTAGTTTGCACGGTGTGGGAGCTGCGACTTCTGAGCTGTGACTTGTGGTAGCGTTGTTCCAATTGGAGGGGTTGGACTTGACTCCAGGTCCAGGTCTGGAAGCTCTTGCGGCAGTGCCGGTGTGACTCCATCTCCACCTGTGCTCATGAAACCCGAAGGGGAGTGAAACACATGAGGACAACGCAGAACGAACCATGCGCATGGAGTGGGTGAGACCTCCGACTGGCAGTTAAGCCCGAAACCCTACAGCCTAGACCATAAGTCCCAAGATGCTAAACTACGAAACCGTAGCACCGCTCAAAATCCCATCAAGCAGACTCCCAAGCCCCTGGCAATCAATCACTGCATTCTGATCGGCAGGCTCCTCTAGCACAATGACCATGCCGCGGAAATGTGTGGTGAGAACGCTGCCGGAGGAGTCCTCAGGGATTGGTCTCCGTTCTTGTCTTGTTGCTGTCATCCCTGCATGGATGATGAGGATAGTTCATGATGATGAAAATGACAATGAGGATGAACATGAAGCTGAAGAAACGAAGATGACGATGATGATGATGATGATGATATGATGAGGATGTGGATGTGGGTGTGGTTGAGGATGAGCATGATTCATGAGAAATGATAGATCATGATGATGAATATGGCAATGAGGATGTGTATGAGTTTGGTGATGAACATGCTTAAGATTACTGTGTTGATGTCATTGACTGCTAGCATCTGCCAGCACGTCACGATGACCACGAGGACAACTTTACGTATTTCACCACCTGCGTCGTGATTTCTATGGTTGCACTAGGACCATTGCCTATCCTGTTATATGCGGGAAGAAACGTCCTCCTGGTCTTGAAGTGTCCTGTCTCCGCGAAACCCTCAAGCACTGCTGTTGTTTGCACTTGGGGGAGCCCCTTCATGGTCATCTGTTTGTGGTGAAGGGTTTGGTGTTGCGAGGTTGGAGGAATTTTGGCATGGGATACCCCTAAACTCTGAACCCTTAATCTGTTGAGGACAAAGATTTCCAACACCTGCAGCTTATCGCCGTGAGCTGCAACCGGCTCTCCGAGAACCTGACACTTCCGCTGCAGTTTTCGCTGCTTGAATTCTGGTTCCAGGTTCGGCGGGTTTAATATAGGGGCCTAAATAAGTACCAAGACTGTTTTAGGGGCTCCTTAATGTAAGCATAGTTTCATGGGCCCTAAAACCGTATTCTAATTCTGAAGGCCCCTGTATTGGTGCGTAGGGTTGACGGCTTGGGTTTAGGGGTCAGGGCTTTGGGGTTTTCTGCTTGGGTTTAGGTCCGTGTGTGACGGAAGCGGTTGTCATCAGTACGGTTGTTGTTTCGAGCATAATCGTCAATATTGGGCGGTTCTTGCAATAGCCCTCTTCAAACCTAAAGACAGCAGCAGCTGCTGCTGCAGTTGCTCCTGGTTCTTGTGTTCTGGTGCTGTTCGGAAAGTCGTGATGGCCATAGTTGGACGACTAAGGAGGAGGGGAGGACGATTATGCTGAGGATTAGGATGACGAGGACGATGGTAATACTGCCGGTGCTGCGTTTGGTGGTGCTGCCTGCTGATGATGGCGGTGCTGATGCTGATGACGACGATGATGACAAGCAGCGCCGGTGATTATGTTCATTATCATTCGAGCTGTTGTCATCATGTTGCTCCATCCTCAGCATCTTCGTGGTGATGGTGCGGTGCATCCTCCTGCAATCGCGGCCCCTCGAGGGTTTCGAATGCAACCCATGGCTAGGGCGACCAGTGCTTTTAGTGAACCGGCAGCGCTAGATCCGAGAAGTACTCCGAGGCTGTGATTCCCCTCATTCTTGCTCTCGTGTTACTTTTGTCAGCCATTCTGACTACTGTTTTAAATGTTCTTGCTAACCCCGTTATCAGCTGATGCCAGCAACATTTTGCCGTCGTGAGGGAACATTCATAGTCTCAGAGTTTGGGACGTCGAGACCGTCAATGATCGTATAGGATGGAGCTCTAACAGTTCGGGTCAGTAATTTATGCTTTTGAGTTCTACAGGCCTAAACCCTAAACCCTACAAGCAACCGCAGTTGAGTAAGGCGCGGCGACGAAGTGCAGCGAGAGTCGCTTTGGTCGTGGCCCGCCCGGAGCAGGGTCTAGACTCCAAGCCCTAGATCCTGAATTCGTAACCTGTTGCTGCCCATAGTGTGATAGAGAGGCCTTGGCCATTTGTAAAACGTCTTGTTATTGCAATCCCAAAATAGCCCCCGCCCCCCGGCCGGGGCCCTGCTGCATGTAGAAATAGAAACCCGACGTTAGGGAGCAGGTTCTCCTCGGGTACCACTTCATCATTGCAAGCTAACCTGGTCGGGAAGACGCCCTCGGCCACTAGTAGACGACGCATGAACAGAAATGACTGTCACCAGCTTGAAGAGCACAGTCAACACAGGAAGACAGGCCACAGCAAATATGCCGATGCAGTTGTACAAAGGTTTTTGCTGGTCATGATGGCGGCTAGGCTTTCGAGCAGCAGTAGCATCTATGCCAATACCATGATGATCACAATGGAAATACGTATCTCAACCTTCAACGCCAACATCGTGTTCGTCTCAATAGCCACCACTATCACCACGCCATGGCCATCACTAATGGCACTAGCCGTCCGAACAGCCTAGACCGTTCACCGTACCAAACACCTCAACCCTAAACCAGAACCGATGAAAGCACTGCACGCCTGGAGCAGCTCAAAACCCAAAGGCAGATCAGCAAGATCTGCCAAAGTGGGCATTGCGACGTTCTGCTTCACCTCGGCACCTGGGCTTGGGGATCAAGCAGGGGGGGGGTTCAACGTCGGGGGGCGTCGGCTTTGTGGGGTGTGCCGGGTTGGGGGCTGATGGTTTAGGGGACGTTTGGGCGGTAGATTTTTGGACTTCGCCTTCCAAGGTTCAGGGTTCAGACTTCGCCTTCCAAGGCTTTCAGAGTTACGGTTGCGAGGCCCTTATTGAGGGTCCACACAAAAAGCGAACCCGAAAAGGAACCCCGCGCCCAGTCATAGCCTCAAAGCTGGGTCTTCGAAGTCCCCCCCCCCCCCCCGCCCCCAGCCCGCCCCCCGGACAACCCAACAGAAAAGGGGTTCGCCTGCCTTGGGGTGTAGAAGAAGCAGTCTCCATTGGGGGTGGCTTTGCGGGCCGTAAACTATGAGTCTTCTCGGACGTTGTTGCATGAGAAGGTGTTTGTGGGAGACATGAAGTGGCAGATGACTTATGTTCTGGAAAACTGCCGCATAAGAGAATCCTCGCTGCTCTCATCCTAAACCCTCAACCTGCAATCCTCAGCCCCAACACCTCACAACTCTAACCCAACACCCAAAGCCTTAAATCCCAAACCCTTAATCCTCAACCCTAAACCCGAAGCTCTAAGCCAAAGAGCCCATTCTCTTCAGAGCGGCGAGCTCAGGTGACCAAGTGCCAAGCTGAGACTGGTTGAGGGTTTTCGGGGTTTGGGGTTTTGAGGTTCAGGGTTTAGACTTTAGGGTTCAGGGATTAGGGTTTAAAGTTTCGGATTTAGGGTGCAGAGGGTTCGGATTGAGGGTTCTGGGTTGAGAGTTGCACGTGCTGCTCATGATAGCAACCGCATGACTGGTACTGATAACACTAATGAGGTAGCTAACGAAATACAAAGATTAATCACACCATTCTAGACCAGTAATGATGCAGCAGCTTGATCCTTCCAAATGGAACCTGCCTAGCTCCTGGGATGGGTTTAGTGCGAGAGAGGAAGGAGGTAGTATAGAAGCCTGAATAATTGCCAAAATTATTCCTCAGGGCTCTTCATCAGTATAATAATGTATCCCAAGTCCCTATTCTATTTTCACCGCCACATGTTAGAAAGCATTGGATTGACCGTCGGCCTCCAGAGCATGACGCGGCATGTGACTCTGCTAGAGGGGCTTTAACAACTACCTGTTGGGGGTTCATTACTATAATTATAGTGGAAGTGGCCCCAAAAAAGCATTCTAAGTATTAAGTCCATTAGGTTCATGAGCAGAACCATAGCATAATGGGCCCCAAAACCTCATTCTACTTATATTAAGGCCCCCTACATTACAAAGCTCTGAGGCTCGCTCTTGGGATCTGGCCCTCTGTGTAGGCCACGCCGAAGTAACCCCCAAAACCGAGACCCTAAGCCCTAAACTCCCAAACTCCCGAACCCCAACCCCCCCAAACTGAAAGGCCCTTAAACCCGAAGCTCCTAGACCTCACCCCTAAACCCTAGACCCCTAGACCCTTAAACCCTAAGCTTCTGCGCCTTACCCCTAACCGGCCTATCCCTAGACCTCTAGACCCCTAGACCTCTAGACCCTTAAACCTCGAAGCTCCGAGACCCCTGAGCCAGAAGCCCTTCAACTTCGCCCGAAGATCTGGAGCACCTGAGGAGGATCACAAGACTTCGTAAGTAACGCTATCATTAGCGTTGCATAAGTCTTTAAGTATAACTACTCTGTAGTTTTGCAGTTTAAGAACACCAATTACTAAGGTAAGCAAGGTTGTAAGTACCGTAGTTAGAGTTGTAAGTGTTTACAACCACTGCATAGTTTCCCCCACTACTTTAACCCTAATATTACGAAGTCCGATGATCCTTCATGTATGAGGGGAGAGTGGCAGCGCTTTAGAGAGGTGTTGGTGATGTTCTTGTTGCCGACAGTCACGCTTTAGGACTTTGGAGTTCAGGTTTTGGGATTTACATGACTCTCAGGCGTTTCCTTTTCAGGTGTCAGTAGTTGCAGTCCCAGTAAGACTATTGAGGTCGGTTGATCAAGTGGAGACACCCCCAGGTACCAACCAGTCGCTGGCAATCTCGTCTCGACGGGTCTTGTCATGAGGTAGATGGAGAAACATCCCGCCGTCGATGCCCCGCACAGAGCATGAGTCATCGCATAGTTCTCCCCTAAACCCTAAAGCCCATGCCCGAACCCTAACCTCAACCGCCTGGATGCTTAGCCCCAAACTCCAAAGCCCTAAAGCCCCGAACCTCAGCTGTTCTCTGAGGTGTATACTCGAGACAACCCGGCCTGGAAAGGCGAGGCGGAGGCGTGTGCCTGGAGAGACTGAGTGCAGAACCCATGAATGGGGGAATCCATGGGGTTGCAACAGGGTGTAGCATGCATACACATACATGCATGCGTACGTATTGACTCACTCACTTACGTACAGACATACAGACATACATGCATAGATGCACGCATACAAAACCCCCACCCCTAGCATGCAACCCAGCATACGCGCTCATCTGAGCGTCGTCGGTTCGTTCGGACTCCATGCTCGACTGCAGAACTGAACTGTTGGCCTTGACGGTGGTCTCGGAATTGGAAAAGATTGGAGGAATTGTCATTTGTACTTGTTTATATACTCGTTGCTGGTCTGTTTCTCCCTGTGCAGTTTTAGGTTTGGCGAACCTGTTCTCTGTCTCAGTAAGTTCCAAAACAGGCGTAGAACCTCAAGCATCACAAGAGGTTTTCTGGGGGTGTGGGCACGGTAAGAGGATGCTAATACTAATCATTAAACCCTCCCCCTCCCACGGGAAGGAAAGCAATCCACGAGCTCCGGCCCCCGGGAAGACAAAGGAGCCATCCACCAGCTCCGGATCAGGCCCTTTGCGAGCGAGCTGCCCTGATGACGCCAGGCGATGACGAGAGGCCGGGCTCTTCTGATCGTAGCTGGCAGTTTACCATAAGGTAGGGTTTTAGGTTTCAGGGTTCAGGGTTTGGGAATTCCGGGAGCTTCGAGGCTTTAGGGTGTTAGGGGTCGCAGGCGGTCGCCGAAAGCAAAACCCGGGCGTTGAAGCCAGACAGCTATTGTTGAAGGACGAAATCCTGCATCGTTTTTTTGCTGCCACCCATGCCTTCCAAGTCCTGAATCTATTGATGTCAAACAGCTCTCGCAAAAGGCATGTGTGCGAATGGACGAAATCCTGCATGATGCATGTTCTTCATCGACATTGACATTAGAGGGCGAGAGGGGAGTGAGCCAGAGAACCTTTCATGTTCTCCCTTCTTTGGGTCATGCAGGGTCTTGTCCACCTACTGTAGTATTATTCGTTCTATGATTTGGTATAACCATTTTTCTTGCTGTTGCTGGCTGTAGGCCACGATTGCGATTACTGCGAATACCGTGAGCAGTATGTATGTTATTGGTACAACCCTTTACGCTGACTTTCATTGTCCCTTTGCTTTCAGGGCTTTGTGATGGGTCGTATTTTCAAGTCGTAGCCAAGTTGAGGGCTGTATCAACCAGGGGCCTACCTCACACCCTAAACCCCCAAAGCACTACTATAGTACAAAGTGCCGAAGCTCTGTTGATCCAAAACCCTTGTCAACCCTACAACACTAACACCCTACAAGCCCTTATGATGCCCCACAGCGTCCCGTTTGCAGCCCCTACCTGGTAGGTGGTAACCATCCCGCTACCGCGCTAGTGTCACAGGCAAAGCCTGGAGTTGGAGGCAGCTAGATGCTTGCAGCAGGCCATTTCGGAAGAGTTGAAATGCCGATGCTGGGACAATCGTGAGTGGCAATCTCTACGGCCAAGTTCTTTGTGCCCCTCTCCTCGGGTGTCATGGTGTGCCAGTCTAGTAACACAACACATTATGCAAGGAGCCTGCATGACACTCTGTGATGCCCGGCACGCATTCGAGCAGAGATTACAAAGCTATGGCTGGAGTGAGATGCCAAGTGTCAGGAGGATAAGGCTTTCGTCGGGTTAAGGTTTAGGGTAAGTCAATAGAGACACGGCAAAGCGATTGCAGGGAATCCCAGGAACGCCATGGGATCTCAGAAAAGATGGACGTAGCGGACAGGTTGACAGGGAAGCGACAGACTAGAAGGCAGTCAGACGTCAGCGGTGATTTGCGGTTTGCGGCAACGCGCAATGTGACTCTATTGCTTTAAGGCCTTGAATGTTGAATGCTGATCCCTTTTGCAATCCACTGTTTAGGCAGGTTTTTATTGTTGGCAAGGGGTATTCTACATTAGGGCTTCCACATCGTACTGCTCGCTCGCAAGACAGTGTCAGCAACCGCGACGGAGTGCACTCATGGCATGTCTCGGACCTGCCTCCCGAAGCCCCCTCTGCAACGGTGCATGTGCACCATTGCAGAACCCAGCACGCGATGGTTTCAGAGTTTTAGGCTTCGTCTTTGCTGTCGGAACGGCTGCGCCGAGCACATCGCAGGCCTACCGCCAGACTTGGACGTACCCTCTGACAGCAGTTGCTCTGGCGACTCGGCACCATGCAGGGTGTGCGCATCGTAGCTCTCCTGGGCATCTGCTGGCTTTTCGGAAAACTGAAGCCATGTGTCCCAGATCCTAGTCCTAGTCCTAACCCCCAGTGAACAACCCCTAATGTTGCTATTGCTGCTTCGTTTCTGCGGCTTTGGTGATCATTGCGCCACCGCCAAGGGCCTCACAGTAGGTGTCGTGACCGAAGCAAGCAGGTTCTGTTTTCAGACTTTCGCGCATGGTCGGCTGTGCATGGTAAGGCGAATACCGCCAATCTCATGCAGTGGAGTGACAACGACGTCTTGAACGATTTCAACACGTCCGACTACAGGACCTCTTGCTATCCTAGTGAAACTTAAAAAACACCACCACCGCCACCACCACGATGGCCGCCACTGTGACCACCCCCAACCTCCACCACTACCAGCCGCCGCCGTCACCATGGGATACAGGACGAGCCTCACGACCTAAAAACAACGATGAGGCATACCTTATAGTGGGTTCCATGAACTTCTGCTGGGGTTTTCTGGTATGGCGTCGTCTAACCAAACACCTTCTTATTACTAGGATCCCATTATCTGCGGTCTACATTGGGATCCTTCATCTTCAAGTCCATAGATCCTAAGGCCTCATGCCATGTTCATTTGAAGCCTAGCTCTGTTCAAGTTGCGAATTTGGAAGTAGGGATGCTTAGACTAAGCTGAACTCTGCTAAGTTTGCGTTGAACTATGGCTGGCATGTCGGGCGCAGTCTTTTGCCGTGAGTATCGTCCTGTTTGACAAGATCAAGTCCGTTTTGGATCTTCAGCCACCCTAAACCCTAAATTCAAGGCTCTGAACCCTATAAAACCTGTACAATTTGTACCAGCCCTTATACAGCACTTTGAACCACTTCTCAAAGTTAACATGTATAAAGCCTCACAAATACCTAGATAAGCTCAGGAACAGCTAGTAAAATGCTAGAAAGACCGCGAAGAGGACATACCAGCCGGCCCTTGTTCAGCGAGCGATGGGGGTCTATCGGCTACTTGGCTGTTCATGCGAGCACGGGACCTTCAGAACATGCCGGGATAGCTTTCCTCAAGGTTTAGGGTTTAGGATCCAGGGTTCAGGGTGTAGGGTTTGGGAATTTGAGCCCGCTTGCTTTAGACATACACAGATTTTTCAGAACGGTCAGTAAACAGCTCTTATGCGAGAGGCTTTTGGGTCCCCTAGGTCAGCCCTCAATCAGCTCGCATCGTCGCCGTCGTAGTAGTGGTAGCAGTGCAGTAGTAGTAGTAGCAGCAGGAGTAGTAGTAGTAGTAGTAGTAGTAGTAGGAGCAGGATCAGTAGCAGTAGCAGTAGCTGTGTAGCAGCAATAGCAGTAGTAGAAGTAGTAGCAGCGGTAGTCGTGTCGTAGTAGTAGTAGTAGCAGCAGGAGTAGTAGTAGTAGTAGTAGTAGGAGCAGGATCAGTAGCAGTAGCAGTAGCTGTGTAGCAGCAATAGCAGTAGTAGAAGTAGTAGCAGCGGTAGTCGTGTCGTAGTAGTAGTAGTAGTAGTAGTAGTAGTAGTAGTAGTAGTAGTAGTAGTAGTAGTAGTAGTAGTAGTAGGAGCAGGATCAGTAGCAGTAGCAGTAGCTGTGTAGCAGCAATAGCAGTAGTAGAAGTAGTAGCAGCGGTAGTCGTGTCGTAGTAGTAGTAGTAGTAGTAGTAGTAGTAGTAGTAGTAGTAGTAGTAGTAGGAGTAGTAGTAGTAGTTGTTGTTGGTGCCGTGGTGGCAGTAATTGTTGCAGTTGTCGCACTTGCAGTAGTTAGCTGATTCTTTGATGTAGTTTCGCGTTGGGGATTGTCGAATGTATGCTTTCACCTTGGGGCCTTTGGTCTTTCTGTCGAGCCCCAAGTTTGAGAGCCTTAAAGCACTTGCAAACGATTCCAGGATGTACCAGCGACAGCTCTGGGATGTCAGCTATGGACAAGGCCTCTCTGCAAGTTCACGGGGTTGGAGCTTTGACGGTTTGCTCCATGGCTTAAGAAGGGTTTCACAGGAATTTAAGCGTTAGCCGGGAGATGGTTTTAGGTTTGTGGGTTTAGGCTTTTCGATTGATGGGTCTTGGAGGGATTGGTCTCCTGCTTGCAGCATAGGTTTAGGGCTTAGGGTGTAGTAGTCGTAGCAACCAACCACAGCCCTCTTCATTGTAGTCGTTTAGATAAAGATAGGTTACTGGCATTTTGTGCGCAACCATGGCCCTTCTACTTGGAACATAATCATGCAGTACAGCAAAAGACACTATTCCGTGGTACGAGGAAAGAAGCCACCATCTCCATCTAGAGATGAAAGCACACATCCCTGGTTCTAAAACCTACCTACATTCAAATTCGCGAACCCCTGCAATTGAAATCGTGAGCAGGCGATCCGCCTGCGGAGACTACTCCGGTGGAGGAGTGGCATTTCCACAGGTCGGGAGTGCGGGACGTCTTGTTTCGATCCTCGGAGGAGCAACACTCGCCAATCTTGGAAGATGTTTATGGTTTCGAGTTTATGGCTTAGGGTTTCGGGTTGAGGGTTTGGCTTCCGGTGTCGGTCGTTGCTGTGCTTCTCCGTACGGCGAGATGCTGTTCTGCCCCAATAAACCTTGCCGCCATCCTGGTACCTTCACAGGATACCCCAGAAGTCGCGAGATTCTTAGAATTAGAGGATGCCAAGAGCCTCCCACCCAAGCGCAAACCCTAAGGCCTGAACTGCCAAGATCCAAGATTTGAGGTTTTGTTTGATGTTTGAGGTTTCATGCTGAATATCCCGGCCTTCATCGCATGATTGGAACAGGGCTGTTATAGAACCCCTACAGAACCCTGCTAGAACCCGCATGGTGCCTGGGCATATCCCTTATAGAACCCTGAGAGAACCCTGTTTGGAGCCCTTAAGAAAAGGTTCAGGTTCAACATAGGGGCATGAGCAGTTAGAATAGGGTTTTCGCGGCCCATGATGCTATAATTATAACAAGGACGCCCACCACCCCCCACCCCCCCAAAAAACAAAAATGTATAGAACAATAGTATAGGTAATCTATAGTTTAAATTCAATGTTACTATACTATACTTATGAAGGCCCCTGGGGCCTCTAGGGCTGCCAGAATTCTCCATCCCTCGCCCTCCGGCGCACCCTTGGAGGCTCGGCTCGGTGGGCATCTTCATGTTTGACCTGAGAGGGAACAGGAGCTTCGGGGTTTTCGGGTTTGCGGGCGGGGCTTAGGAGTTCAGGATTTGGGGGGGGGGTTTGGGAGAATTAAGGGTTCTGTAGTCGGTTTCTCTTCAGGTGTGAAAACTACGGCTTCGGCGTTAGCAGAGTTACAAGGGCGTTGCAACATATCCATAATTAGGGCTGCTCTGTGCTTTCTCTTCTAAACCTCGTCATGAGTACTACCTGCTGCTGCCTCTACTGCTTTTCCAGCTGCTATTGAGGATTCTTGCTTACCACCATCATTTTCATTGTTTGTTGTTTTTGTTTTGGCGCTGGCTGCTATCACCGCCAGCCATGGCCATAATGGCTGTCGTTGCTGCACCATCGGTGTTGACGGCTTCCACGAAGTCGTAGCAGCGGCGGTTGTCATGATGACTACTGAGATCTGGGCGGGTGTAGGGCTTCGGGCCCTTTAGGGCCATGACCGGGTGCGCAGCCGAGGAATCTGATTGAGTCCTGCAGGATTGTTGGGGCTTAGTGCTTTTTGGGTTTAGGGGTTGCTGCCCGCGATAGTGTCCCGAGCTCTCTCTGAAACCTACAGCCCTGGACCCTTCAAGCATCTTGCAAGTGGCAGGATAAATGCTGATGGCACTCGCCGTAGCGCAAGCCTTCTTTCGGACAAGCAGAAGAAGGCCGTACAACAGTGCATGGCTCTGTGCAAACCGCAAGATGGCCTGTCGCCCAAAGGTGCGGTGTATGTTTACATGAAGAATCGAAGCATATCTTTTCCCTAACATATTGGGGAAAACATTTGTCCCCAGTATGTTAGTGCTTGCATCGAAGCATATCTTAAACCACCTGGGGGATACAGCAGTTTTATGTACTGCAACATGTTCTGCCGCCAGTAGTTGCTGTCTCGTTTGTGAGGTACAACATTGGGTTGGGGTGGGTTCCAAACCCTGCCTGCTTCTAGGATCCTCTGTATGGGCTCCTTCCTAATGCACTTCACCAAGGTCGCCCACTCCCCACTTAACGTCATCATGATCATCACAGTTCTTGCCTTTATTTCTCCTAGTTTCACGGTTAGCGACTTGTCCTGCCCGTGTTTGCGTTGTTCTGGTCATTGTTGTGAATCCTGCTTGGACCCCAGCAAACAGCTCTTCGGGTCTACGAAATCGTAAGGCCCCTCTATTAACCACAAGCGCACTTTGACAAAACTCACACTGTCTCCTGACAGCTTCTTACACCAGACCCCACGGACCTGTCAATCCTCGAAGGTCTGAACCCTAAACCGTGAGAAGCCTGAGGTTTCTAAGTTTTACCCTTAACCTGAAACCTTAAAGGCTTATAAAACCTCAACCCTGAACCCTGAACCCCAAAAGCCTATAAAGCCTAAAGCCCTAAACCCTAAAACCTGAACCCTGAACCCCAAAAGCCTATAAAGCCTAAAGCCCTAAACCCTAAACCCTAAATCCTGAACCCCAAAAGCCTATAAAGCCTAAAGCCTTATAGAACCTAAACCCTAAACCCTGAACCCCAAAAGCCTATAAAGCCTAAAGCCCTAAATGTAAAGCCTAAAGCCCTAAACCCTGAACCCCAAAAGCCTATAAAGCCTAAAGCCCTAAACCCTAAACCCTGAACCCCAAAAGCCTATAAAGCCTAAAGCTTTAAACCAAACCTAAACTCCAGGCCTTATGTTGTTTCCTAAGCCCTTGAACCCTAAGCTAGATCGCAAGACTCCCCAACTCCTAGACGCCAGCAACCTACAGCTGAGTAGTTCGAATAGGGTGTCGGGGTATATTATAGTATAGTATATCTACAATGAGGAACACTGAGGAGTAGTGCTGGTAATTAGTCAGGCTTCTTTTTATTCTAGAAGCTTGCTCCTCCAGGCCGTGGAAGAGATTTTCCATCGCCCGGAGCTGCCTCTTGACTTGAGGGCGTTTCTCTTTCTTAGTTTCGGAGGTGTAGGGAGTTATTTATGAGCGTGAATGAGTAATGCTACTATGCCTTGGAGCTCTTAATTAACTGCAAGTGTAGGAAGTTCCCATCTCGCTCCCAAGCCTTCCCATCTCTCTGTCACCGCCCCACCTGCCCGCCGGCCCAGCATGCAGCAAGAGGTGCACCCTAAACCCTCAACCCCAACACCCTAAACCCCTAAACCCTAAACCCCTACACCCTAAACCCCTAAACCCTAAACCCTAAACTCCTAAACCCCTAAACCCCTAAACCCTGTGGCCCGTGCGCAACTTCAACCCAAGACGTGAGTTTATGCACAGCTTCCGCATAGTACCTGTGCACCCGGCGCAGCCGTTGTTCTGGATTTCTTCCGCGTTCAGAACTCCTAACCTACAAACTCTAAGCCCGAAGCCCAAGGCCGCAGACCCTGACTTTAAACCCTCTTTTAAACAGGAATCTGAAAGGCTAGACCCAAAACCCCAAGTCATAAACCCGAAGCCCTACACCCTAAACCTTGATTCCTAAACCAAGACCTTAAGCCCTGCACCTTCAACCTAGGCGTTGTATCATACTCTGCTCGGAGCTGCCTTATGTTTGGGAGCGCCCGGAGATTATTCGCTCGACCCTATGGCCGGCAAGTCGGGCTCAGGGTTTCAGACCTTTTTCCAAGGGATACTACGAAGGACATTCTAACGGTGATTATACGGCATACTCTAAGGGTTAGTATAGGGGCTATTTGGGGGTGGGTTTCTAGACCATCCTCAAATGGAAGAACGAGCCTTCGATGATGCTCATGATGCCTGCCAGCTCCGATTGGGACCAGACAGTAGAGCGAGCATCCGTGCATGGTGTCGAAGCCAGCAGCTCTGCCAATTTGCTTCTCCAAGGTCATGCTCAAGCAGTCCTGCCTGCTCCAGTGATCCCTCCTGTTGGTTGGCCCCGCACTCAGCACGTCATGCAGTTATCACCAGCTGGTGTGTATCCTGGCCGGCATTGCTGTCAATCGTGCAAGTCCCACTGCTGCCTGCTCGTTGAGATGCCGACCTGCTATAGCTTCGCGCACACCCATGTTGGTTTCCCAGGTGGCTTCGCGCTTGCAGTTGCTTCCCTTGCTTGAAGGCACGCTGCATAAGTCGTGAACTTTTGATGGCCCGGCGCGAGTGCCTCTTGCCATGGCTCCCAAGTTCGCTGGCAAGCGCCGCTCCGATGCTCAGGCAAGCAGCCCAAAGGCGCCGCGGCCGCGGGTGACACTCGCTGGCAAGGCTGAGATGATCATGGAACTCTGGCTTATGCCATACGGCAAGGATGCCAGGTTCGGTCTGTGGCGACTTCAGTGCTACACCTCTGAATGTCATCGTTTGCGATGTCAAGGCCTCCACCACGCGGGTCTACGACTTTGCCACTTGCGCAGCACTTGTATAAGGCGGCTCGCTGGACATGGCAGACCGATGTTACAGCCTATCTCGACGATTTTGCTGGTGGAGGAGCCAGAGGTCAAGCACCTGCAACTGGCTGCTGCAGTATATTCCATCTTCATTGTTCTCTCCCGTGCACTCGAGTTTGAACTGTCGGCCCGCGCTACTAAAGTGGCTCGTGCTGGCACCGTGATTGCTACGGACTACTTGTTATCGGGTGGTCAGGTCGCGCGCACTCTGCCGGACACCAGATTCTTGTGGGCCACTGTCCCGGATTTTGTTCTTCGCAGCTTACAAGACCAAGACAAGATTTCCCGGCTACGAGAACTGCAAAAGAAGGTCGGCAAGCTCAGCAAAAGCGCTCGTAAAGCTCTTTGTCAACCTTTTCACCCGCGATGCCGGAACCTACCTCGCTGTGCCAACTGCATGATGGCTGAGATCCTCGGATGAATCGACCCACGGACACGTTCATACTCCACACGGCCGCGCGGGAAGAAAGCCCTGCCGCGGCCTTTCACTTCTTACGCTGTGACGCTGTAGAGAAGTGTAACTTCCCGGTCTAAGATTTCATGTTTACCTTGCCAGTTAGCGATACCGTCGTTATGCCGGGGAATTTCGTGCTGCTCAGGGCACCGTCAGTTTAGGGTTTACAATTTCCGTTTTAGAGCTTGTGGTTTAGACTGTTCCAGAAATCGGATCTCTTCCAAGCGCATTCCTCGTAAGCTCACGAGAGAGTTTCCTCACAATCATGACCATTGCAACATGGAGTAAAAACCCGTCCCGGCGTGAATCCCTTTCAGCTTCTGCCGAACGCTTGAGAACAGGTCACCTCAAACCTTGCAGTACCGTAGCCAGCGTGCATTGCCCTTCACGCCCGGATCGCGCGACTCCCAAACCCATACAAAACCCGAAGCCTCAAGCCTCAACCAAGCAAGCCATCTCGTAGCCGGTTTTCCGCGCCGTAGTCAACGTAACTGCCTTCCGCCCGGATCGCGAAGCTCCCAGACCCCATGCACAACCTGAAGCCTCAAGCCCCAACCTAGCACACCATTTGGCAGCACCAAACGAAAAGCCATGCTGCAAGAAACCACACTGCAAGAAAACACCTACCCTCAACAACGGTGTTGTTCCGATTAGCCCTCTACGACGCGTGACCGTTTGGCGAGCGCCCCGGTCCAACTGCTGTTTCAGTTTAGCGCAGGCACGCTAACCACCGACAGTACTTGGAGCAACCACCTCAATTACATTCCCGCTGGTTTCGCCGGTAACATAAGAGCAGGTCTAGAAGCAACCACGGGTTGCCCGAGGATTCGTCTTTCCGCCTCACGCCTCACAGCCGGTCCCGACAAAGCCTGCCACTTGCAAATGGCAAAACCGCAGGTCGAACACGGCGTAATCCACATCTTCGGAGAGTGAGCCTTAAGATTCCGATCCTGTAGCATTTGAGAAGATTCGCACAATTGAAGCTTTAAGCTTTTTGACAGGGCCGTGCACAACTTTGCACTCGCATTGATGACAGACACTCGCAAACGATTGCCCCTCCAAACAATTAGCCAGGAACATCCTACCTCTCTCGTGAGCACCACGTCCTGCCTCGCACAGAAGATCAGCAAGCACGTGTGATCCTGTCAGTTTCACACAGACTCGGCGAGTCCTCTTGCCCAGCTTCAAAATGCGCTCTTGCACCACACATGAAGAATGAAACTAAGCCCATGAAGTTAGAGCTTTCGTCACCCGCCCTCCGGGTCTCAAGTGAACTCTGTACGGTTCAGGTTTTGGGATAACCGAATTTCAGTTAAGAGTTTCATGCTTCCGAGTTCCGCTTTTATTGTTGAGGTATAGGTGTGGTCGGGTTTAGGGTTCAAGGGTGTCTCCACACAGACCTTCCTCTGAACCGGAATGGAACAAAAGGCTTCTTCTCCGCAGCTGCTCCTGCAAACTTCAACGTGAAAGATGCTCATGGTGTAAACACGGTGGGGACATTGCCAACTCCATAGCGGCAGAGGATTAATCTTTGTCGTCGTCGTGGTCAGTCGTCGTTTCGTCCTGACGATGCCGTCATTGTCGTCGTCGTAGTAGTCCTGGTAGCAGCAGCAGCAGCAGCCGTGATAGAAGTGGTAGTCGTCGCCTTGTCGTCGTAGTAGTAGCAGCAGTAGCAGCAGCAGTAACAGTGGCTGTGGCAGTCGTATGAGTAAGAACAGTAGTAGGTAGCAAGCACAAGAGCGGAAGAGAGAACGAATGTAAAGCAGGGCCGAGTAGACTCGTGGAGCAACATCAGAAGGGTGAGACCCGCAAAAGGTATTTACAACAAGGAAAGTAGTGATGTTGAAAGCGATTCTCGTACTAACAACAGCAGTAGTCATTGTGGTTGCACCAATGGTTGTCATGGTTCTGCTAGACATGGCAGAGTAGTTGAATCAAGGGCAACCCCATAATGAAGATGCTAGATCTAATGGTTGTGGTGGTGATGGGAGGTGCTGTCGTCATCGTGGTCGTAGCTTACCCCAGCCTCGCCTGCTGCCAAGGAAGGCAGCGCGCTTGGGCTTTCTGAAGGACCACTGGCCCTACAACCTGAGCGATGCTTGCCAAGCATCTATGAACACAACGAAGTATGAAAAATGTAGTCAACCCAAGACTGTATCCAACGCTCAGCCGGCATTCACGGTCCCTCTCACCGAGGTGTGTTTCAAGCTCCCACAACTCGCATGGGTGTTTTTTGCCAAGTGGAAGTCACCATGTTCAGGATCCTGTTACTTCGGGTTCGTGGTGGGGCCTCTTGTTTTCTGAGCCTTGCAGACTCAACTACAAGACTCGCTGCCGATTTCTAGTCTTGCCACTGAAAGGCTTCTTTCTTCAACCAACCAAACCCGTCTAAACCTAAACCACTAAAACCCGAAACCCAAAACCCCAGCCTTTTCTACTGCGACCCCGCAGCCTTTTCTACTGCGACCCCGGCTAAGGAGCTGACCTGGCTTCTTGACCTCTGCTTTGAGTGGAAGGCCTTAAGTTAACGGGTCATCTTACACGGGGTAATGTAAGGCATACTTTCAGGGTTACTACAATGAGTACAATAAGGGATACTATTTGGGGCGATCAGGGAAAACGATGACGGCCATCATTGATTTCATGAGGGATGGGGAATGGTATGTACCCAATGTCGATGATGATAGCAGGATGTCGCGGATTGAACTAGTATCTGATCTTGTGATCAAACAGGGCTTTATTGGGGGTTCTTGACTCCGGGAATGCCAATGTCGTGGCTTAACCCGTAAAATGAAAACGTATATCGCTGAGGCTATGCAATCGGCGTAGACCTAGTTACGGTCTCCAAGGTTGAGATCCACAGAGAACTCTTAGGCGGGGACGTGGGTTTGTCGGGCGGAGAAGGATGCATCGGCCCGAACTTTTATGGGCTCTTTCTCTCACGGATCAACGTAGATGCGTCTTGAATGGTTCCAGACAAGCTAATGTCCACTGGGTTCCTAATTTCAGAAATCTTTTCCCATGAGTTTTCGACCGTGGCAGTCTGCATGCACAGCTCTGACGTTGGCGAGGCGGAAGAGCGAGTGTCGGTGAAAGATAAGGGTTACAATACGGATACGATAAGGGATGCAAAAAACACGGATACTATAAAGGCTGCTGCAAGACACACTAAATCGTCACACCGGTGAGGGATCGGAAATGTTCAGGGTTTGAGATTCCTGCAGGGTTTTAGTTTGGAGCCTAGGTTTGATGCTGTAAAGACAGAAACTCCATCTTCATCAGACCGAGGACCGCCCCCGAAAAACACCTAAACCCAGCCTTTCGGGAGGATCTAGAAAGTAGATCCCCTAATTTGGGGCCCTATACTACTAAGGGTACTTTATAGGAACCCCAGATCGTCTTTTTGGATCCTCCAGGGGTCTGGGAAGAGACCCGGGACCCTAAACTCCTCCCTGCAAGGCAGCCTCCTCGAAACGCGACGTCCTGCTTTTGGGTGGCGATCTCCACGTCTCCGTGTACTCGGCGGGACCATGGGACAGGGAGGGGACGGGATTTAGAAGCTGCCTAGTAAGCCTAGTTCCCCAAAATCATGATGGGCTGCTCTAGCGCAAGGTAGTAGGAATCTTGGTGTGATCCGCAAACCCTAAGCCCTAAACCCCTAAACCCTAAACCCCTAAACCCTAAACCCTAAACCTCAAACCTTAAACCCCGGAGGTGATTTATGACGAAGCCACCGGCAGCGTGATCCGGCAACTGGCCAGCAAACGGCTCTCGAAAGCCCGGAATAAAGCCACAGCGACTCAGTGCTACAACCCTTACAAAAAAACTTAAACCCCTAAACCCGAAATCCTAAACGTTAAAGCCTAAGCCCTAAAACCCTCTAAACCTTCAAGGCTAGACTCCTAGAGCCCTAGACCCCTGAACCCCCAAACCCGGAGCCCTAAACCCCACCCTGAAGGCTAAGAGCCACGGTTTAGGGTTTAGGGTTTAGGGGTTTAGGGTTTATATAGGGTTTAGGGTCCCAGGAGTGTCACCACCAGCCCGGTGGCCAACCACGTGAGTCGCTTCTACGCGAGCTTGGAGGGCCGGATCTCCGACAGTTGCACGGCAGAAGACTTTCAAAGTGGGTTTGGGCTTTATCGGGTTTAGGGCAGATTTAGGGAATGTTATATGGGATACCAGAGGGGAGACTATATTCCCGATAGTGAGTTACATGACAGAAGAGCTTCACGGGCTACGAAAAAGCGTTACTTTAAGGGCTTGTTTGTTGTAGGATTGTTACTATAAGGGAAGTTTTTGAGGGCTACAATAAAGGATACCATTAGGGACGTTGTAAGGGATTTCAGAACTGCTGCTACATTGGGCCTTTGGGCATGTTCAGTTCTATGAGGCTTGCGAGGTTGAAGTCCAAAAACCTAACTCCTAAACCCGAGGCCCCAAAGCCTGAAACCTAAAGCCTAACGTCGACTCCGCAGGCCCAAATCCTGAAGCCCTGAAATCTAAAAAGCCAGACTCTATGAGGCCCTGGGTTTAAGGGTTGGAGGGCGTAGAGTTCAGGGCTCAGGGGTATTAGGGTTTCTTGTTCAGGTTTCAGGGTTTACGGTGTAGTGTTACTCGTCAGAGACCCAAGGCGCAGCGTCGCTGCGAAACCCGGCGACTGTCACATCTGAAACCCTTGCGACTCCAACAGACCCCTGCTTTGTAGTCGTACCAACACCCGGTGCTAGCAACATCAAAAGGACTGGTGTGGAGTGTTGCAACAAGGGTGAGCATTGACATTGCCGTCCAATCATGGCATTATGATCATGTCAAAAGCATGGGCAGACGTATCAATAGCAGCAAGCATGGCAACACCGAGTAGTGCGAACAGCAACACTTTAAACTCAGCAATAAGGAGAAGTTTCGAACACCCCTGTGTGCGTGAAGTGCCAGGCCCAAAAGCCCCAAACCAGAACACTGCGAAGCCCCATGCCCTAAACCCGATACCCTGAGCCAAAAGCATGCAAAAGACCCTTATCCCTAAAACTCGCGGAAAAACGAAACACTCCGCTGAGTGTCCCATAACTGCCCAGTAGGATGACACCATTGAAGGTCCGTTTTAGGATTGATGCGCGTTCTACTCTACACATTACCTGCTTACTTGGAGGCTCATGGAGTTTAGTAACTAGGGTCATCCATAAGGTAACCTTACTTGCTCAGTCCTCTGATGCTCCAAGCACCCTAATCACTTATCGTACCCCTATAGATCCCTTGAAGGGACACCTAAGACCTAAGCCCGAATAGTACCACCAAAATAGAGAGAGAGAGAGAGAGAGAGAGAGAGAGAGAGAGAGAGAGAGCGCCACTAAAAGGATACAGCTACCGCCACGAGCCGCTGCCGGAGTCGAAGGACAGGGACTTCTTCGGGGCTCCTTTCACGGCTCCTTTAAGGGTTGCTCTACAGGTTCGCTAACGGGTTTTACTTAGTGGCGTCCCTTTGAGGCTGAGAAGGGCTTCGGGGTGTGTAGGGTCTAGGGTTCAGGGTGTCTAAGTCTCGGTTTTCGGCTCGTGGCTTTCGTATGTACTTGGTGATCAACGAGCCTTTGCTGTTGTTTTCTCAAGTACCTAATGGTGATGATCAAGGTGATACTGATAGTGGTGATGCTGGCACTGATGCTGACGGTGACACTTGCGATCCTGATGATGCTGGTGGTCATGATGATGATGTTATTGTTGTTGTCGTTGTTGTTGTTGGTGGTGGTGGCGGCACTGTTGCTGATGGTGATGGGGGCGGATGAGAACGATGACGTTTCTGTGAGACGAATGTCGGGGTGATTCACCTTGCTGGACGACAAGTATGGGAACGACGACGAGTGCGAAAGCAACTATAGCAAGCAAATGCCGCAGCGACAGATTGTGTCAAGTTGTTCCGGGTCTCGCATTCGACTTGTTCCCGATTGGCTGGGTGTCAAGCGAACAGCACGCTGGACCCTGGGCCCTAGACCTTTACCTTCAACCCCGGACCTTAAAACCCTACACCTCAAGCCACTCTTCAGCTCCACACTCCGTTGCAGACCTTCTGCAAGATCGAGATTGCCCTGTCCGACGTCTCCTGCGACGTAAAGGCCATCTGCCGACTCCAGCTCTCCCACTGACTTTCATCTTCAGATCGAATACTTGAGAGTTTCCGAAATTAAGGGTGCCTTATCTTGGGGCTCTTTTTCATATAGATCCTACTATTTCGGGTACTATGTTAGGGCCCCCGATTTTCGGAAACCCCCATTCGGGGGTCATATGATCAGAATAGGGTTTGGGATAGTCTAGTCCAGCATTCCCCAATCCGTAATATGGAGGTCTCTAATGCTGCTTCGTTATACCGTCCACTGGAGTACAACCCTAAAGCACCGTTAACGGAACAGCATTACAGACCTTTCCGTCCGGGTTTAGGGAAGAGGCAGAGGCAGGAGAAAGAACGACTTTGGAGGGAGAGTTTAGTTTACCACCCGGCTGAAGCCTTTCGCTTTCCAAGGGATTCCGGGGCGGATCATTGGGACTGGGTCTAAGTCGCCCAACAAGTCAAAGCACATCCCTGACACCCCAGACACTAAGGCACTTGAAGCCTAAACCCTCCTGACACCCCCAAGGCCCCAGCTGCAGCCTGTGCTGACTGAACACATTGGTATCATGATCCCATCGTTCGGGATTCTTGTAACAGGGCTTTGTTCGGCTTGGCTTCCTGGTTTAGGGTCCACGACAGCGGGTGAATCCACAACTGGTTCAATAGAAGCAACTCGCATGTGCAAGGAACAGTTCTGATGACTGTCGTGCTTCGCGATGACTACCAACAGCATGCAGCAGCAGTTATCACAACAGACATCAGAGCCCTAAGCTGCAGATGGGTACAAAGTCCAGAACCCAGAACCCTAAATTCTGAAGCCCTTAATCCCCCCAAGCCAAAGCCATGCCAGTCGGATCAGTAGCAAAAGGCGGAGCTTGTCTCGCAGATCGCGGTGAAGCAATCCGGGCCGTTCAGACGTCTCAACACATGGAACTGACCCAGGCACTCCAAATAGTCCCTCAAATACGGAACACGAAGGAGCCCATAGTAATTGAAGCGGTCTTGCTTAATTGAGGGATTCTTGAGTGTCTGCGGAGCAATTGCGCACCCAAGGCAGGGGAAAGATGGGTAGACGGGTAGATGATCCGGAGATGTTGAATTGTTCGGTCACCTTGCGCGACTTGTCCTCAGCAAAGTACACGTTGGCTAGTTTTGGAGAAGTGTCGAAGCTTGTGTGTAGCTCGTAAGGAGCCTGACATCACGATTCGCATTCCTCATTATCGTCTAAGACCCTCAGAATTAGTAGCAATGTTCATGCATAACCCCATTCGTTCGTCGTTAATCATATTCGCAGCATGAAGAGACGGCCCTAGTTCCATTGCCAGGCCTGTCGGAACCTTTGTCAAGACTGAACGTCAAACCCTGTCAAGCCGAATCAAACCTGTTACGATTACAGGTCTCTGTTAAATTCTGTAGGCCCAACTCGCGACAACCCTGGCGGATTCAGACTGGTTGCCACATATAGATGCCTTCAGAAGGAAACTGCCGGCGAGGGACGGGGTTTCGAAGTTTGGGTTGAGGCTTCGGGTCATTCTGAGTTTCAGGGTTTACCCTTGGCGATTTTCCACAATCTTGGGTGAGTCTCACAGCATTCCGAAGACGATAGGGCGTGCCTACCTGAGGGTGGTATGCCTGAAAGTCGAAGCCTCACCGAAGACAATAATTCAGTGCACAGCCGATGCATGAAACATGCATTTCACATGAACATTCTCTCTCTCTCTCGCTCTCTCGCTTTCTCTCTCTCTCTCTCACACACACTCTCTCTCTCTCTCTCTGTCTCCCTCGCGCTGTATGCATAAGAGTACGAAGAAGAAAAGCAATAATCATGAGAAGACTAATGACACGAATACTATGAAGAAGAATAAGAACAAGAATAGAAATAATGAGAGTATTACGAACATATGCACATACACACTCTGCACATTATACGTATGTATGTATAGACGTATGTCCATCCTGTGATCCACTATCTATTGTAGCGCGCATATTGGCAAAACATTGCGAAGCTTATCGAAATCACGGCTTTAGGTCGTTCAGATGTTAGGGCTTAGGATGTAGAGGCTAGTACTCACGGTGTAGAGGTTCAGCTTGAAGTAGTTTTTAGGGTCGGGTTTAATCGGTTCAGAAACGTTCAGAACTGTTTTGGCTGTGCGCTGAGCTCTTCCCCCTATGTGTTTTGCACAGTCGCGGATATGTTCCGGACGCACCCGCATGTCTTTTCTGGCGAGGGCGAACAGATGCCCTGTACTACAGGGCCTGGGGGCAAGGACTTTTGTTGGTGCTATAGTCTAATGGCTTTTTAAACCGACGATTCGTGTGTAGAAGCCGTGCCCGAGTGCAGAGAGGCCTTCGGAAATTCGCTGAAGATGCCTGGAACGCGGTTGCTCAAATGCGCACCGCGCGCCAATGCGCACCGTGCACAGCTCGCGTATTCTGAAAACGAAAGCTGGCTGCTCTGCAAACCATCGAGGTTGAGGTCCAGTGATTCATCCTTGCGGTATTGAGTGTACGGGGTCAGGCATCGTATTCTGAAACTGCCATGTTCATTCCAGGGACACATGGGCCTTTTTTGCTGTCCAGATCCCTTAACCTCCGATTCGGTCCATCGCTTCTTGAAGAGCCTTGGATCGATTGGCATCAGCGTGAGCATGTTTCATACTCCTGCAGTCCTCACTGTAAGGTTAGCGTCAGGATCTTGCTTTCTCTCTTTATGTGTCTTTCCTTCTGGTTTGCTTTCTCTATCTGTCTCTCTCTTTCTCTCCTTGCAAGCAACGTGCTCTCTCAAGAGAGCTCTTGCGCCCTTGTCTTACCAGTGGTGCTGCCTGAGGGGTGCACCTGAGATCTTGCAGGGCAGAGTTCTGCAGACTGTCTAGGCTTAATGCAGGTATGTCATCCGACTGTGTTAGAGCTACCATCCGAGTTCCGAGGCGACATCCATGGCAGCTGAGCTGGAGGAGTGCGACAACGAAGCTCCAAACCCAAGCCACAAGCCATCCACTCTTGTTGATGGCTACTTGGTTTGAAATCAACAATCTGCTCCGTCTTCAGCACCAGGCCCATCACCAGGCCCATGACTGCCATCACATCACCGCTCGCCTGCATCAGCAGCATGTCCGCTGGGATGAGAGTTGCATGTGCATCAGTCTCAGCGCCATTACCAGAAGCACAGAGCAGCAGCGCCAGCAGCGTCGCCATCAACATCACCAGCACCACCCATCAGTACCACAACAACCAACACAGCACCAGCAAAGCCCGTGCCAGTACCACCACCATCACCACTACCACCGCCACCACCACCATCCTCCTTCTTCTCCTCCTCTGCCTCCTCCTTATCATCATCCTCAGCATCATCACCATCATTATCCTCATTCTCGCCATCATCCCCATCACCATTATCATCTTGCGTCATCGCCATCCATTACCATCATCATCATCACTATCACCATCCTCATCCTCCCACCATCATCTGTATCATCATATTCTCATCACTATATTCGCAGGATAACTCACTTGCATCAGTTCATCATCTACATCATCATTGTCATCATCATTAGCATCAGGGCCATCGTCAGCACGATTATCAGCCTCAGCAAAGCTCTCAGAATCATCAGTGTCACCATTCTCGTCATGATAATATCAGCATCCCCATCATCATCGTCATCATCATCATCGTCATCGTCATCGTCATCATCATCATGACTAGGGGCGTGATCATCTCCATCCTGACATTGCCATCATCATTGTCATCATCTGCCATTATCATCATCGCCGTCTTCCCCTTAATCAATCATCATCACCATCAGCATCCATGGCACAAGCATTGCGGCCCAGCAGTAGCGTTTGCATTCCCGGCAGCGTGTTGTATATCGGTATCTCTGACGTTGAGAGGAGCTGGTACTCTGTCCCATCTGCATGCAGCCGATCCTGGGATTGCAGCGCGTCGAATCTCTGGGATTTCCGGGCTGGCAGAGATCAAGGTGACAATCACTAAGTTGCAGAACAGACGGCCGCAGTGCCAGCAGCCCCCATGATGACAGCGATCATTGTGGTGATGTATGATGACCGTAACCCCTCAGCTTTCAGACTTCCGAAACGTCCTGCAACGGCCGAGGATCTACAAGTGTGTGGCCAGAGCCCTATGCGTTGTCGGGCAGGGCTCAGCCGACTTGGAGCTGTGTCAGACAATGTAGCCTGTTGTAACGAACTGCTGCCGCTGCTAGAGTCACAGCCAGAGTCGTAGTAGTAGTAGTAGTAGTAGTAGTAGTAGTAGTAGTAGTAGTAGTAGTAGTAGTAGTAGTAGTAGTAGTAGTAGTAGTGGTAGTAGTAGTAGTAGTAGTAGTAGTACTACTACTACTACTACCACTACTACTACTACTACTACTACTACTACTACTACTACTACTACTACTACTACTACTACTACTACTACTACTACTACTGCTACGAATACCACTACCAATCATAATAGCAACAATACTGATAATAAACATAGAAACATGGGTAATGAATAATCGTCGTCATAGCAATGAGATTACTACTGTCCTATTCCTCGTCGTACGGTGACTCAGGCCGACTCCTACTCCTACTACGGCTTACGCTCCTGCTTCCTGCTCCTGCTCGTACCCTACTCGTAGTACTCCAGCTACTCCTACAACTCTGCTAGTTGTAGCTGCTACTACTTATTTTGCTGTTCCTACTCGCCTCTTACGCCTCCTACTCATACGACTGGAGGTCGCAATAATCAAACACAGAAGGGTCGATTACCGGTATTCCCTTACCGTCTTGAGCCCCGCACCTGGCAGCTGCCGTCCTGTGCCCCGCGTTGAGGCGCTGCTCCCTTGCAGCCACAACTACTGTATGGCCTGCTGCTCCGATTGGATCCGCCTTTTGGAGCAAAGGGGTTTGGGGGGTTCATCTGGCGTAGAGAGGCTGGAGCTTCAGGGCGGTTTGCAAGCTCAATACCCTGAAGCCTAACCCCAATCGGGTCGAGGTTTTGGGGGTTTGTGGTTGCAGAGAAACATTCCTTTCAGGCTTCTACACATCTCTTATTCAAGCGTAAGAGGACCCAATAGTTCGAGTTGGTCCCTCCGCCGCTGAGATCACAAAGCAGAGTGCCCGCTCTGTCGACGCAGAATTACTGCCGCATCTTGGTGGCATGCAGTTGCGAAGAGTATTCGGGTGCCATTCCCATGGCGTTGCACGGCTCCCAGGAGCTGACAATTTCCGACTCGGGGTACTTGATCCGTACCCTGCGGTTGAAAGCCAACAGTTCCGCATATGGTGTATTCGATGAGCTCCCTACATGCGCACAGTGCTACAGCGTCCTGTGGCCATATTCTTAGCTGCTAAACATCGCAGGGCTCTGAAACCTAATCTGGCTGAATCTAGCTCATATGGTATTGCATAAACGAGACTCGACCAGGGGACTGGTATCAAGTGTCATAGGAGTTAATCTTAGTCTAGTGGGGCTCGAAACAGTCTCATGCCGACTCCGTATTCAAATCCACACTCAACCAGTGCCCCTGCTCCGTGCGTCTTCAGCCTGCTAAGGTCATGAAGAATCATCCGATGGATTCCGTGGTGGAAGTCATGGCCTTGTTATCGCGGTTCTTTCTCCCACGGCTCTTCTTTAAAGGAAGTCTCCCCTCCGAAAACGGCGTTAACAGGGGTTTGGGGCTCAATATAGCCTGGTAATGCTATAGGGACTACAGGGCGACGTCATTTCGAACCAGCCAGACCCCTGTCTTGCGCAGGCCAAGCACCCAGCTTTTCCGGCAGTTTTCGAAGCAAGACAGAGTTCTAGATCCAGGATTTCAGGGTTTAGGATGCATGAAGCCACAGCCGAAACCCTAAACCCTGAGTCCGAAAGTCCTGCCCTGAGCCGTCTCAACCCTTAAACCCTGAAGCCTAAACCCAGATCAGGGGTACCTTATTTTG